CAGTGATTGAAGGGCTTGTTCCTTTTTTTGCTTTTGTATGTTTGCTTTTTGTTAGTCAAATTATCAAAACTTTATCTGAACAGAGAAAACTTCCAAATTTGCTTTTCTTGTAATTGATACATCTTGTTTTTAAGCTGCCCCAAACCCCAAGATGGTATGTTTTCGTTTACCAACTCACTTCTTGCTGTTGACAGGTAATCCTTGACTTACAACCACAGTTGGGACCAGAATTTTGGTTTTAAGTAATTGTGGTAGTAAGTGGAGGCACCACATGATCAGACTCATTTTTATGACTGTTTTTACGTTGAATGAGTCGTTGAATGAGTCACTGTGTTAGTCAAAGCAAAACAGTGGTTATAAAGGTGGTTGTAAAAGTGAAACCACTTTATCCAATGGGCACAATTTTGCTAGAAAATGGCAAAAAAAAGGAACAAAATGTGATGTGGCTGTGGGACACTGCAAACTAATTGTAAAAGTGAGCTGATTGCCAAGCGCCTGAAATGCGTCACTGGGGGGATGGTGTGGCAATCATATCTTCAAGGATGGGTCATAAGTAACTTTTTTCAGTCTTGTTACTTTGAAGGGTTGTTAAGCAACCAGGCAAGGATTACCTGTATCTCTTTTGTAGGACAAATATGGCCTTGGAACCAGGCTTCAACGTCAGAGGCCTGGGGCCCCCATCAGTGCTCTTACTGGACTTTCGTGAGTACCAGTTCTTTCATATTGATAAAGTTACATTGCTTAATACCAATCATATAAAATGGAAATAGCCTCAGAGTCAAGGATAATTCTGGATTTTCCTTCTTAGCTGATTAGTTAAATGTTATACTTTCAATACCAGTGTGTGGACATCTAAGCTGTACCTGCAATCTTGTCTAAAGTGTCATTTTATATTTTTAAAAAAAGCCCCTACAGCTCATGTTCTTACCTCTAAAATTTGCTATTTATATTAATTCAGTGATAAAATGTAAAGCTTAAATTAGGTTGAGTGTTACAGCTGCTATTCCAAGTGCTGCAAGAAGTGCTGAATTTAAGTAAAGAATTAGTCTCTAGCAGCTCTGTGCTGCTTCATTTGAACCAGCAGTTTAGCACTGCTCGGGTTTTTATGGCTTCTTTCAAAAGCAATCGATCCATTCCTTTTGCCTCAGGCTGAAAGAAGGGGAAGACCACAAGGAGATAAAAATTGAACCAGCTCAGGCTGTGGAAGAGGTAGAACCTTTACCTGAGGATTATTACACAAGGCCAGTCAATCTAACAGAAGGTAATAGTTTAGCTTGTCTTTTGGTCCAAGCTGATTGATTCAAATAACGCTTGTTCTTCTTATTCAAAGTCATTAACTGAGATTGTGAATTTTCTGAACTTCCTGTATTGTGAATAGTGACAACCTTAAAGCAGCGCCTCCTGCAGCCAGATTTTCAGCCCATTTGTGCTTCTCAACTTTATCCACGTCATAAGCACCTTCTGATCAAACGCTCACTGCGATGCAGGGTATGTAATCACTATGAAAAACTACTACCATCACACTGTCATTTTTGGCAAAATCAGAGATCATATGCAAATTCCAGAATTCCCTGTCCTTGAATTGTTCCAGTTCTCTTTCATGTAATTTGGCCCTTGGCTGATTTTGAATGTAATTCAAACACGGGAATGCATGTTTTGAGAATTCTTAGATTACAAAAAAATTGTATTACTTCAATAGGAAAATATTACTTCTCTCTGACTATATAATGAAACAGGGTGCTTTATAAATGCATTTTACAGTGTTGAAACCAAACTGTAAAGTTATTTTGCTTTGTGAGTTCACAAAGATGCTATGTGTTTATTCCAGTGGCTACTGGTAATAGTGGTAAGGAGTAATGTGGAATACTGACAATTCCAGGCAATGCATGCCCAATATTAAACTGAATGAGGTAGACGCTAAGTGCTTTGTTTCAACTACAAGCATATTATCATTGAGTTGAATTCGTTCTTTAGTTCTTATTTGAATATGAGAACTAATGACCTAAGGAAAGAGCAATAAAAGACTAAGCTCCAAAAATGTAAAGAACCTTATCCTAAAAGATATATTTAGAATATAGATTTGTATAATTATTTGTAGAATTCATTGTCAAAATGAATGTAGGTTTAAATGTTACATCGGATAAATTTGTGATGCAGAATAACTGTACATTTGGGTTTCAACACTGTAAAATGCATTTACAAAGCACACTGCCTCATTGTATAGTCAGAGATGCAGAAGGTAATCTGTAGATATTCTGCATGGTGGTTATATCTATATCAGTTCCTAGGCAAGGTATGTTTCCATGTCATCTTCTCAAAGGCTTGTGGCTAGCTGTTATAGGAAACAACATCCCAAACTAAATAAACCTTGACAGTTGTGTTGGAATGTGTCTGTGAAGGGGGAGGTGATGTGGATTAAAATAACACAGCAGGTTCCCAGGAAGGAGGGGCCACATTCCAAGGGTGGAACAACAGGAAGCACAGTTTGGAGCTGGATTGTGGAAAGAAGTTTGGGATAGCAGCCCCTCCCTAGAATTTCCCAGGGTATCTCCATTAGGTTAGAGTAGCATAAGATTAAACTGACAAGATTCTGTCTATACAGTATTATGCAAATAAAGAACTGAAGTCTGACTGGCTTTTTTTTTTACTTCTTTCTTGGGCTAGGCCTGATAATAGAGCAGGTTCTTTTTAGGAAACAGAAAGTTACCTTTTTGAATGTCTAAATTAAAACTTTCAGCATTTTTATAGGCTAGTTCCATTGTTAAGGAAATACTTTATATTCATATGGATGAATGCCCTTGTTTTTTTCCCCATACTCATGCCCCTTCCTTCCTTCCTTCCTTCCTTCCTTCCTTCCTTCCTTCCTTCCTTCCTTCCTTCCTTCCTTCCTTCCTTCCTTCCTTCCTTCCTTCCTTCCTTCCTTCCTATCTATTCTGGAGAATAGTGGGTTCTCTGCAGCAGATTTGAGATCTACTTAAGGCTTCAGTTCAGGAGCAATCCATCCCAGGAGCAGTTTCCATTCTACTGTCAACAGCCACTCTTGGATACAGTCCAGCCCTGACATTCTGTTTAGTGAATTTGAGTAAAATAAAATGATTCTGCAGTGGTATTTATAATTCTTGAGCATAGCTTTGCAAACTTCTTACTCTCATTTTTTTTATTTTGTTTGTAGAAATGTGAACACAATTTGAGTAAACCAGAGTTCAACCCCACATCAATAAAATTCAAAATTCAATTGGCTGCTGTGTAAGTAGTTTGAAAACAGTGACTGCAAGAAATCAAAAGACTTGAAGCAAATTCTCATGGTTGGGATAAATCTATATCTGCTGTATACAATTTCTTCTGGCAAATAAAGGTTGTCACAATCCGAGTTCCAGCACGCAGAAAACTAATGTGCTAGTAGCAGATTTTCTATTTTAGCCTTTCTTATGAATATAGATATAATAAATGTGTGAAAATATATTTTTTTAAATTCCAGTTTTATTAAGCAATGCAGTGCAGTCAGCTAGACATTATGTTAAGTGTTATGTTTTTCTTTCACAAGAGACTGTAATAGCCATTTAATTCAAGTATGTGTGCTTCTGGTAGTTAAGTTGGTTTCTGCTCTGGCAGATTAAAAATTAGTATTACTTATTGATGATAAGAACTGGCAGGTAAGATTTATTCTACTGATCCTAGCCAGAAGACAAGATTACTTCTATCCCATGGAGGAAATCACTTCCTTCAGTCTTTAGCCTTGATTTCTAGGAAAAGCCAACTTTCCTTTCAGCTCTACGGTAATGGTTGAGAAAGAAAAAAAATGGAATTGGGGAAAGCCATGCTTAGTCGCTTTATCAGCAAGGTGGGTGGCATATAAATTTAATAAATAAATTAATAAATAAACAATGAAGTGTTGATGCTGACACTGTGAAGTGTGGGTAATCGAGCTAAGTGATTCTGGCAAGCATAGCTTCACAATGACTATATTGTATGAAAAAACAAACTGGAAGCTATAAATTACAGTATAACCTCCTTACAAAAACCTGTTTCCCAATCATATATTTTTGCTAGTTTTTAAAAATGTTTCAGTGTTCAAAATAATTTGAAAACTGCATAATTGAAAAATGAGGTATTTAAAATTATAAAATGTAGCGAAAAGGCTAGAGACAATGCCATTCATATATTTCCTATTGGTGTTTTTTATAGCAATTACATCCCAGAAGTGAGAATCATGTCTATTCCTAATCTCCGTTATATGAAGGTTAGTAATGGTTTACTTTTAACCCTCTTTGAAGATGGACCTTCAAAACTTCGTGAAGCCTGAATATGAGTGGCTGTTAAATCTTTTGTTTTGTTTAAAATGTGACAGAGGCCTGGAAAACTAACATGTTATTTTTAATAACATTGGTTCAGTGAAGACATGGCTCTAACTCATGGTTTCACAATCCACTGTTTTTAAATTGGATTCAAAAGCCTATCAGGATGAAACAGTTGAAAAAGGTGTCCATAAGTAATACGTGCCAACATAATGAAGTTTAAGACATGCTTTTGAAAATTGTAAATCTTGAAGCATTTCCCCTTTTCTTTCATGTAGGAAAGACTAGGTATAGTGATAACGCCAAACCTTAAGGTGAAAACTTGGAGGTGTCAAACTTCTCTCCCAGAAGCCCTCTAGTTTTAGAAGCCATGGCCCACTTTCCTAGCATCAGGGTAGGGCTTGTTAATTCTTATCGTCACCATGTGACTTCCTGGAAATGCCTTTGCTTGATACCTTTTCACTAATCTTGCAAGCTCTTTGGCTTCTGGTAAACAGCAGGGAAAAAGATTGGGAGAAAAAGAAATTTAATGGTGCTACTCTTTGGCCTCTGTAGCATTGAGGTGTATAATTATGGAAAACAGCCTCTCTACTTTCCTTTGGGAAGCTAGATCATGATTACAAGTTATAATTTGAAAGGAAATTTGCTTTATTAAAAATAAGAAAGTGAAACATTCAGTGGACAAGAAGATTAATTAAACTATGCAGTGCTGCTATTATCACAAACACCTTATAGAAATCTCCCACTGGGAAAAAAAATCCCTCAACGTACATGTTTTTTTGAAGGAATCTACTAATCTACTAATATAAAAGCAACTCTGATGGAAAGAGATGCCACCTTCTATCAAATAGGACTGTTTTTATATAACCAGAGATAGGAAATTAAAACCAGACAGCCCCCTCAGAAATCTTAATGTAGTGCTAACTAGGCATATACTTACACTTCTTCAAGTAGTAATTCCTTGATTCAGATTCCTTCTTTTACCTATCCTTGCTGGAACTTTTAGTCTTAAATTTGAGGTTAGAAATGAATCTTGACTTCCTCCAACCCAAGCTTACAATTTCTTCTTTCTCCCAGCGGTCTCTGGGAAAAAAAGAAAAAGACAATTTTTTTTCTCTATCAAAGAGTTTGTGAGGAGGTGATTATTTTCTTCATGAAGATACGTGCTTGAAGCCTAGCAAAAAATCCTTGGTGACCTTAGTTACATATGAGATACATAGTTGATGGAATCCATGGCTTGCACACCTATTTCAGATTTTTTGTTTGATTTTGGTTTGGTTGACTGCAAACCAACTCATATTTTTCCTTAACTCCAATATGAATAGGATATTTATAGTTTAGAAAAATGAATGGGATAATGGTTCATGTTGCTGTTTAGGAGGTTAGCACTTCCTAAAAGGGCATCGTACAGACAAAAATGAATGCTCTCAATCTAGAACCATACAGAACCTTCATGAGTGTTACTTAGTCTCTTATATACTTCTGTCATTCATAGGAAAGTCAAGTTCTTCTAACTCTAACCAATCCAGTGGAAAGCCTTACCCATGTGACCTTAAAAGAATGTGAGGAAAATGATCCTGAGGATATTAATAGTACTGCAAAGGTACTGTAGCTTCTTATCATCTTACATGTATAAGCTAATGTATATACTGTTACTGTGCTAAAATATATAAGAATTGTGAATATCTGCACAGTCCTTTTTCAGGTTTAGAATGATTTTCTGCCTTAACACAGTTATTTAAAAAAAAGGAGAGGAGGCTTTTAATACCCATGATTAGCATGGGTAATAGATCTTGTGAGGAAAATAGTGCTTTTGGATAGGAGAAGCTTCCATGGTAGTTCGAATTTCATTAGCAGTTACAGTGGTTCTTAATCTTCCAAGTTTTCATATTTGTTATGAAACCTTTTTTTGTCTATGTCTCTTTTCAGGTGATGGTTCCTTCCAAGGAACTAATCTTGGCTGGCAAAGATGCAGCAGCAGAATATGATGACTTGGCAGAATCTCAAGATTTCCAAGATGACCCTGAGTAAGTTTGTCTGTCTGCTTTCATAGCTATAGACTTGCATTTACCCACTGTTGAAAATTGACCCATGCTATCCTGACTTTTTCTAGGTGGAAATTAAAAAAAATATTGTTTCTCCTAGTAGCACTAGATTCTAAAGAGACCAAAGAATATATTTCATAAAATGCCAGTGGAATTTTCTACATCCATCCGATACATACTCTGACATGTGCAGCAGAGAGGATGAACCTACTGTATCAGTGATTTTAGTTCTGGCAAACATCAGGATCAGATGCAGCCTTCATTTGACATTAGTTTAGATACCTTCCAAAAGGAATTAAATACATCTATGGAGGACAGATCCATCGCTATCTATTGGCAATGCAGCTGAAAAATCTCCAGATTTAAACACAGAGTACCACTGGGTACTACTTGCCAGGGAGGTAGTATTTTGATAGAGGTTGCTAAGGGAGCAAGCACTAAAACTAAGGCCCTTTTTGTGAGCATCCCAAAGGCATTTGGGTGGCTACTGTTGGAAGCAAGATGACAGACTAAATGGTGCTTTTCTTTAACCCAAGTCCACATTTGTTTTGTAGCACATTTCTTGAGTAATATAACTATTTATTGTCCCCCGCCCACAATTTACTTACAATAACTATCCTGGACAATTATTAGTTTATTTCTCTCTAAAGTAGCAAATGAAGTCAAACAGAATCAACTTGAGAAATTATGAAAAATCTTAGCATTTTTATCTTTGGGAGTAAGGTGCCATGGTACAATGAAGACATCAATATATTTACATAAGTGTCAATGCTTTTGAATTTTACAAATCTATACTAAGTCCCCGTCCCAAATAATTGACCTATTGAAACTAAAAGAGGAATACTGTAACTAATTGAATTTTCTTTATACACGCTGTGAATTTTAAAATTGTTATAATAAAAAAAAGACTCAAATCATTGAAAATCAATTACTGTTTTTAAACAACTAGCAATTTCTAGTTAATTAATCTGCACTGAAAATTGGGTGGTTTTTTTTTTCTCCTTTGAGAAAATATACAGGTAGCCCTCGACTTTCAATAGTTCATTTAGTGACCGTTTAAAGTTACAGTGGCAATGAAAAAAAATGACTTATAATCGTTTTTCACACTTACAACAGTTGCGGCATCTCCATGGTTATGTGATCAAAATTCAGCTGCTTGACAATTGACTCATATTTATGACAATTGCATGTCCTGGGGTCATGTGTTTACCTTCTGACAAGCAAAGTCAATGGGGAAGCCAGATTCATTTTACAACCGCGTCATTAACTTAACAACTATAGCGATTCACTTAACAAATGTGGCAAGAAAGATCATAAAATGGGGCAAAATTCACTTAACAAATGTCTCACTTAGCAACAGAAATTTTGGGCTCAGTTATGGTCGTAGGTCGAGGACTACCTGTATTATGTTCCGCAATCCTAAAAACGCTCATGTATGAGGTTGAGAGTATTGCTAGGATTGTTCTTGTAATATAAATTTGTATAGATTTTATAGCTATCAACTATCAAAGTAAGATACAGTAATTGGACTGCATCTAGCTCTTCTTCCAATTATGGTGATCTAATTATTCTAGTAAAGATTTTCATCATGGAAAGATGGGGGAGATGATATTATTTGCTCCTGAAAATTGAGAGACCTGGAGCAGTATTGAAAGCTTGCAAGATCCAGGAAGAAATTGAATTGGCAGTTACTTATTTGAACAACAGACTATTTCAATATTATTATTATTGTTGTTGTATTCATTGTTGTTGTTGTTGTTATTATTATTATTATTATTATTATTATTCCTGTTTTGTAGCATCATAGCTTTCCGGAAGGCTAACAAAGTTGGGATATTCATCAAAGTTACTCCACAGAAAGAAGAAGGAAAAGTTACTGTAAGCTTTAAGATGAGGCATGAGTTCAAAAATCTTGCCGCTCCAATGCGCCCCACAGAGGAATGTGATCAGAGTTGTGAAGTCATTTGGCTCACCCATCATGTGGAGCTCAGCCTGGGCCCTCTGCTTCCCTGAAGTTTGTGTCTTGATTGAATGCTAAATGATAGTTGACTGTTACACTATGCTTTGAAAATGCATTGCGTTAAAATACTGATTTTACAGAGATGCCTTGGAAAGTGAAATTTCAGCCCAAAAAGCTAGAGTTGAAATAGAAAAAAGACGCTTTTTTTCTCTTTGCCTCCTACTCTTCACATCCATTACGTGAATTAGTAGTTCTGTCACTATAGCACATGCATAGTCAAAGTGACAGTACAGCTTTAGTGTGCATGTTTGTAGTTATCTTCTATCTTCCTTGAAAAAAGAGTCACACTAGTTCCTTGCAAAACCTTTTACTAGCTTTCCTTGCACCAATTTATCTAAGCTAGTATTGGACAAAATCTCTTTCCTTCTCTGGTACGTTTTCTGATAACTGGATTACTACTTTTCTGATAGTAGTAATTATTTCAAGTGGATTTTTCAGTAAAGCAGTAATCAGCACAGCAGCGTGAAAGGAAGACAAGTAAATAGCACAGGTATCAATACTATATAGTTGGAGGGTTTAACTTTTTATGCTGGAGAATGCTTATTTAAAGGAAATGCAGTTTTGGATAGTTGCATTTGCTGCTGTATTGTATTTATTGAAGCAAAGATCCAATTGGGACAAGCACTAGTGTTTTTGTTAAATGATTCCTTTAGGAACAGGATGCTGACCAAAGATAGCTTACTATGATTTTAATTACTTTTAGTATGTAAATTTGAAATTTTAAGACCTCTTGGAAAAATAGCTACCATCGCCATTGTGCAGTTTTGCACTGAAGGTGTAAAATCTTATTCCCCCTACTGAACAGCTTTCATTAGGTTTTGTTAATAGGAAAATGAATAAATTATTATAAAGTATAATTCCCAAGTTTGGGGTCTTGAATTTTAATGATTTGACATTTAATATTGTAGCACTGCATACACATTGTATGTAATGGGAAAGTGAAAAGACCTGATTGCAGACTGGTGGCCATGGGCATACATTACAGTGTGAATATTTATCATGTGCAAGATTGGAATGGAGAAGATGAATAGAAATGTATAATTGGAAGATGGACTTAAAGCCCTTGGAAATATATTTTCTAAGTTGTTAGAAAGTATATTTAAGTAGTTTTAATTTATTTGGCACTATCTAAATAAAGGTTTCACCTTTATTCTGTGCAATTGATGTAAATTGATGTAGATTATATACGTTGTGCAGCATGAATTTAAGACATCTAGGCAATATGTATTCAATATGTAGTACAATATTAATGTCTGCTGTTCTCAAATTTATACATTAACTCCAAAATCCATGATTTAACTCCACACACACTAATTAGAAGTCCAATTAATACCGGTAAGTTAATAGTGTAATGAACTAATATACATTTAAGATTCCTTGTAAACACATAGAAAGTTGGGACATACTTGAAAAGTCTTTTCTCCTTTTGATCTCTTAGAATATAAGTACTTGTACATATCTCACTTTGCATATCTGTAAAAATATTTCACTGGAGGGACATTCTGCCTTTATCAGTATTAGGATAACTGTGTTGCCTTATTGTACAATTTAGTGAACTTCAAATAAATACGCACTCAAAGCTGCTTTCATGTATTTTTCTTTTATCATATGTAAGATTTTTCTGTCATATTTGTATGACTAGAAATAACTAGCCTACATTTCTTTTGGCAATGCTTGCATAACTTCATGTTTTGTAAAACTGGACCAATAAATTACTTTTGCACATCTTTTACAAGGTATGCAGTAGTCCCAAATTTTGAATTACAGGTAGTCCTCGACCTACAATTACAATTGAGCCCAAAATTTCTGTTCCAAAGTGAAACATTTGTTAAGTGAGTTTTGCTCCATTTTATGACCTTTCTTGCCACAACTGTTAAGTGAACCACTGTAGTTGTTAATTTAGTAACCAAGGTTGTTAAGTGAATCTGGCTTCCCTATTGACTTGGCTTGTCAAAAGGGGATCACATGACTTCAGGACATAGCAGCCGTCATAAATATAAACCAGTTGCTAAGACATCTGAATTTTGATCACCTAACTATGGGGATGCTGCAATGGTTGTAAGTGTGAAAAATGATGATAAGTCCCTTTTTTCAGTGCCATTGTAACTTCGAGTGGTCATTAAATGAACTGTTGTAAGTTGAGGACTACCTGTACTCCATAAAAAGTGGAAATGTGGGGGTTTTTTTAACATTCACAAATGTGAATCTGATCAATGCTTTTTCTATGTAAAATATCAATTGAAACGATTAGCTTACATTACTATCCTTTAGTTGTTGCTTGTGAAACATTTATTGCACTTATAGGCATGATGATTGGAGTAACTGTTGAAACGTTTTAGATTAACTGAAAGCATCCATCCATCCCTTGTATATCCCACTCATCTAACCAATTCAGACATGCATATTTAAAATGAATATGAAAGCAAAGAACAAACACTATTTTAGTTAAATTATATACTTTTCTCTGTGAAAATCTATGGTGATGTCTGCTGTGAAACACTTATTGCAAGTAGAAATGTTAATTGTCCTTTATGTAGCAAATTAGAATTGAAATTAAATTGCCATTCCAAATGCTTTGTAGTGGCAATCAAAAGGGTAAGACTGGCAATAGGCAGGAATTGAAAGATGCTATAGTACCAAGGTGTGATGTACTTCAAACACAAGGCAGCTGAGAACTGGGGCTCTATACACTGTGTACTAGAGGGATAAGAGTAGACCATGCAGAAGACCTAGCAAAGATCTTTAGAAGAGATGAGAGTCTTGGGAATGCTCTGAACTCAGAACCAACTAATATTCAACCAACAGCAAATAGCACTATAGATAAATAACTTTCTAAACATATCCATGATGGACTATAGAAACATTTAGAGTTAATGTCTTGGTCCATCTACGTAGAGAGCAATTTACAAATCATAAATTTAAGACTTCCAGATTCCTCAAATTGTTCATTTGCATTTATTCTATTTCACCAGATCATAGCTTTTTAAAAACTCCAAAAATAGCTTTTCCAGAGGCAACTTCCTGATGATTAGTTTTCATATTTTTATTCCTGCCACCTGCCCATATGATACAACAAAAAACCTTGAGATACTTGGCATATGGCAGAGTTCAGAATGGTTTGGATTGTGTTTTGTCCAAGATGAACAGAAAAATCTGTCTGCTATGTTACGTTATATGTTGTGTTCTGAATTTAAACGTGCCATCTATTTTAAAACCCTTAATGTTCAACCTTAAGAGTTGGAGGATAAATTGAGTTGCAAGATGTATTAATAAAACATGGAGTAAAGTATTTTTTAACTGAAGAATTGTACTAGGCAATAACATTGAAAGCTGTTAGCAAAATATTTCTGAAAACCATCATGCACCTGGGGTGGTAGAGGTGGGCAACCTGAGTAGAAATAAGTTGCCTAAATTGCCAAATCTATAAATTTTATGGCTGTTGGAAGGGACCTTGGAGGTCATCTAGTCCAACCCCCTGCTCAGGCAGGAAACCTTATACCCGTGGTGGCGAACCTATGGCACGTGTGCCACAGGTGGCATGCAGAGCCCTCTCTGTGGGCATGTGCGCCATCACCCAGAGCCCTCTCTGTGGGCATGCGCGCTAGTCCTAGGCCTTCAGCTGGGTTTTATAAAATCTTTTCGCTTTAGGCCCCCGCTGCCGTGTACAAAAAAAAAAAAGTTCAATCAATCAATTTGTTTCTCACAGGAAAAAAAAAGATCTCACAAAGTTGGAACTGATTGATTGAACTTTTTAGTCCCACCCAGTCTGCCGTTACCACTGCAGCCATGCCCACCCAATGGGCCACACCCACCCGGCACCCGATGATACATAAGTGGGTTTTGGGTTGCAGTTTGGGCACTAGGTCTCTAAAAGGTTCGCCATCACTGCCCTATACTATTTCAGACAAATGGCTATCCAGTTTCTTCTTAAGAACTTCCAGTGTTGGAGCATTCACCACTTCTGGAGGCAGGTTGTTCCACTGGTTAATTGTTCTGTCAGGAAGTTTCTCCTTAGTTCTAGGTTGCTTCTCTCTTTGGTTAGTTTCCATCTGTTGCTTCTTGTCCTGCCTTCAGGCCCTTTGGAAAATAGCTTGACTCCCTCTTCTTTGTGGCAGCCTGAGATATTGGAACACTGCTATCGTGTCCCCCCTTGTCCTTCTCTTCGTTAAACTAGACATACCCAATTCCAGCAATTGTTCCTTATGTTTTAGCCTCCAGTCCCCTAATCATCTTTGTTGCTCTTCTCTGTACTCTAGAGTCTCAACATCTTTTTTACATCGTGGTGACCAAAACTGGATGCAGTATTTCAAGTGTGGCCTTACCACGGCATTGTAAAGTGGTATTAATACTTCATGTGATCTTGATTCTAGCCCTCTGTTAATGCAGCCTAGCACTTTGTTGGCTTTTTTAGCAGCTGCAGCACACTGCTGGCTCATATTTAAGTGATTGTCCACTAGGACTCTGAGGTCCCTCTACTACTGTTGAGCAAGGTACCTCCTAAACTATACCTGTGCATTTGGTTTTTCTTGCCTAAATGTAGAACCTTACTTTTTTCACCATTGAATTTCATTTTGTTAGATAGCGCCCAGTGTTCAAGTCTGTCCAGATCCTCCTGTATCTTAAGCCTGTCTTCTGGAGTGTTGGCTATTCCTGCCAGCTTGGTGTCTGCAAATTTGATGAGTTCCCCATCTATCCCCTCGTCCAAATCGTTGATGAAGATGTTGAAGAGCACTGGGGCACCCCACTACACACTTCCCTCCATGTAGATGCGGTTCCATTGAGGATCATGCTGAGTACGGCCGGTCAGCCAGCTACGAATCCATCTGCTGGTGATGCTGTCTATCCCACATTTTTCTCTTATCTAGTAGGTTGTGATCTACTTTATCAAATGCCTTACTGAAGTCCAAGTAAATTATATCCACAGCATTCCTCTGATCCACTAATTTTGTCACTTGGTCAAAGAATGCAATAAGATTTGTCTGACATGATCTGTTATTAACATCTTTTGTCTTAAAAGAAAAACATAACAGAGTTTTCAATGATACAAACAACTTTTTATTGAAAGGTAAAAGTTTGCATTTGGCATACTTTTGAACAATTAATGTGATTTTTGCTGTTGTATGCTTGCTGATAATTCGTCTAACCTTGGCTCATACTTTGTAAGTTTGAGAGCAACACATGCAGCACTCACGTCATCCGTTAGTCTGTTTCTGGTGTCAGATTTGATATAATTTAAAGCTGAAAACAGCTGCTCACAAGCATAAGATGATCCAAACAAAGTAAGGAAAGCAATTGCAAGTGCTTTCATTGACTTAAAATTATCTGGCAGAGAATTCCACACTTTAAGGATTTCATTTTCAGAACTAACTGTGCTGTCCTTTGTCATCCCTTCTATCTTCTCAAGTGTTTCACGCAGGCCACAGAATTTATTTTTCCAGATAGAGTTTTCTTGAAATTCCACTAGCTCCATTTCCAGATTTTCTAAATCTAACCAATGTAAGCAGGAAAGATCAAGTTCTTTAAATTTGGCTTTATCTGGAGAAGTAAGAAAACACAGGGTTGTCTCCATCTTACGGAACTGTAAAAATCTGTTATTAAAATTCACCTTTGCAGCTGCTACAATGCTAGAAAATTCCTTGTAGATTTCCTGGTGGCTTGTAGGATTGTCTGCAATTGTAGAATTTTCTAAATGCATTTTTAGATTTGGAAAATATTTCAGTTGCCCACTTTCAAGGTCTCTTTCAAAAACCTGCAGTTTTCTCTCAAATGTTTTGATATCACAAAACATCCTTTCTGCTGTTTTCCCTACACCTTGTAATTGTTTGTTCAGTACACTGAAGTGTAGTGTAAAATCTGTAAAAAACATGAGGTTGGTAAGCCAGGCCATATCAGTGAGCTGTGGATATTCCTGTCCTTTTTCATTCATAAACAGCCTAATTTCATCCAAGCAGGCTACAAATCTCTCCAGGACTCGTCCTCTGCTCAGCCACCGGACATTAGTATACATAAGTAAACAATTATACTGTGCCTGAACCTCCTCAAGAAGTGCTTGAAACTGTTGAAGATTCAGAGCATGAGCCATGATGTAATTCACCATTTTTGTGACATCTTTGAGGACATCTTCAAAGTTTTTGCTGCTTTCCCTGGCACAAAGAGCTTCTTGATGTATAATACAATGGAACTGAATGACTTGATGTTTTGTTTCTTTAACAAAGAACTGTATGAAACCAGATGTTGCCCCCACCATAGAAGGTGCCCCATCACTAGTAATTGAAACCACTTTTTCTGGTCTTAGGTCTTGTGACCAAAAAGCTTCCATCACAGCATTGTAGATATCTATCCCTTGTGTTCTTTCAGGCAAAGACATCAGTTTCACCAGCTCTTCTCTCATGATATCACCAACAGCATAACGTAAAATTACTGCTAACCTTGCACGATCATTTATATCTGTGCTTTCATCCAAGCACATGGAGTAACAGGCTGCCTTTTGTAAGTCAGTGGTGAGCTGCTGACTAACATCATTTGCCATGTGCTGGATTTGATCTTTAACAGTATTTCTGCTAAGTGGCATCTCAGAGATGCGTTGAATAATTTTATCCTTGTTTGGGAAATCATGAAAAAGGGAATTACTCCCAGACAACATGGCCGTTTTGATAATATCCCCATCAGAGAGGGGCTTACCATGTTTTGCTATGCACAGTGAAATTTGAAAACTGGCAGCTATCAGAAACTCTTTTCTTTCAGTTTCACCAAGTCTGGCAACACTTTTGTGGTTGGTGTCAAAGTGCTGTCTGACACTTGATGTGCGACACACAACAGTTTCATTACACATAATACATAATGCTTTCCCATTGTGTTCAATCACTCCAAATAACTGTGTCCAGGCCTCTTGGAATGATCTTCCACTATCTATTTTTGCTTTTTTTGCTGTACTCATTTTTGGATGTCTTGGATACTTGGAGTCTACAAAAACACAAAATTAAAAAAGTCAATGCCTTTTCTTTTTCCTTTCTTTCCCTCACTTTTCCCTTTCTCTCTCTCACCCTTCGTTCGCAAAAGCCCCTCTCACTCACTCACACTTTGCTTGCAAAATCCTCCACTCTCTCTCACTCCCCTGTCTCTTTCAAAGGCCTCTTGTCCGGTCTCTCCCCCACTCACTCCTCCGTCTCTTCCAAACGCCACTTGTTCACTCACTTGTTCAGTTACTGCCCCGTCACTTTCAAACACCACTTGCTCGCTACTCTGGTGAATTCTGTGCTGGGGCGATGGCACACATGCCCACAGAGAGGGCATGCCATAGGTTTGCCACCATTGACATAGACCATGTTAATATGAAGTGTTAACCCAGAATTGTCACTCAAGACACAGATGACCAAGCTATCCTACTTTGGACACATTGTGCAAAAACTTAGCTCCCTGGAAAAAGCTCTAATTCATGGAAATTGGAAGAGGACAACTAGCAGTGAAATGGATGGACTTAAGTTACAGTACTGATAGCTGCACTGCTAAAATACCTTAAATACAAGATTAGGGACAGATTATCATGCAGAAAATCTCTGTGGTCACTAAGAGTTGATACCAACCTGATGGCACGAAATCAATTGTTAACATTACAGCTGGAATAACAGCTAATTGTTGAGTACATTTACCTTACAGTATTCCAGAATTCACTAAAAAAAAACAACCCACCCAAATCAACTCTTGCTAAAGGGGAATGATCTTAAATCAATAAAATAAGCAATTATTATTAGTATACTAGTAGTATTTAAACAATTTATATGTCTTCCCATCTTATAGTAATGGCTGTGACTTGGTGGGGAGGGTTACAACGAAAAAAGACAAGTATGCTCTGAGTTTTACGCTCAGAAACGTAGGCATAATCGATTCCTCTTTTCTCGTATAAATTTACTCAGAAGCAAGCTCCGCTTTACTCAAGGGGTCTTCTAGATAGCAGCTGAGTTATAAATAATACCTGCAGAGTAGGCGGTGCTTTGACCTGGGATTAATCTTGAAATACGATGCTGTACTTACGGGTATCCTAACGATCTAAGTTGCCAAGAGTGCTGAAAAATGCACGGTCATTTTCTCTTAGTGTCCATTGCGACTCTTCCCCTCCCCCCCCGCCCCAAGACTCGCTTACATCTTAGTCTGCAATTGAATGATAGTTAATGGAAGCCGCCTCCGCTTTGCTCACGCTAACCGTTAACTCAGCCCGCGCTTGGAGGTCAGGTTTGGAGACAAGCCCAGGGGAGGCACTTCCGGTTCAACCGGTCAAAAGGAAGCGGTCCCATCTAATAGGGCGTTAAAAAAAACAAACCACTCTTATCCGCCCCCTACAGCCATTGGTCAAGGACCTGGACTATGGAAGGGTACTTCCGGAGTGCAGAGCGTCTACTTCCGGGCCCGCTTTTTTTTTTCCTTTCAACTTTAAGCACAATAAAATGGCGACGTCTTTGGGATCTAACACGTATAATCGGCAGAACTGGGAGGATGCGGTAAAAAATAAATAAATGTTGTCCTTTAGGTTTGGGTGCCCAGCTTTGATAGGAGGGAGAGGGTGGCTTTGAATCGGGCGGTCTGTTGACATCGTCGCGCTTCGTGGCCGAAGAGGCTTCGATTCCGTTTGCTCGAGAAGGGATGTTGGGAAGCGTGCCGAGGGCGGGGGCTGCTGCCTGCTCTGAGCTTTTCCTGTGGCAGGATAGAGAAGCCGAGATCTTTGGAGTCAGGCTAGCTTCCTCCCCGGGGTCACACGGAGGGACCGGGGCGGCCACGTACATTGATCAGCTCTCCTGGAGGAATGAAGCGTGTTGGCTTCCTTTCTCTGAATTTAGGCAAGCTTAGAGCATTTAGTTTGTGATCCTGTAGCTCTTCAACCATGTGTAGAGTTGGAAGAGTTGTGTCAGTTTCTTTTTTAAAAAATCTACAGCCCTGTTGGTGTACAATAGGGTAGTGATGAGGTGTGCTATTATCTTGGTCTTGGAATAATAATTATAGTTTTTTTTTCCTGTAGGATTTCCCTATTTTGTGCCAGACTTGTCTTGGAGAAAACCCCTATATCCGAATGGTATGTGGTTTGTGACAGAATGGTACTTGAACACATAATAAAAGATAAAAGGAAAACGTTAATTTAGCTGGATGCATAAAGTCAAGATTAAAGCAAACGTTTCATTTCATAGTTCTACATGTTTAGTTAGGCAAAAGATCTATATACTCACCATGTGTGAATAGCCTTTTTCGAGTACATTAAGGTTTTTATTTGTGTATATATGTATCCCTTTGGGTACGTTAAAAGCTAGTTCTAACTTTGAAGAGGATGGCATGCTGGAATTTCTTGGAGATCAAGAAATAGATTTCTGATAGGACTATGATATCTAGACTCTTTTGGAAGATGAAGAGTGAAGATTTCTTGCATGTTATTGTTTTGATTTTAGTCATGATTGGAGACTGATATGCATTGTCTTCTGTTCTTCCATCTGATGTAAGTCATGTACAAAATACATATGAGCTTCTTGAATAGTGATGAAAACACAAATCTTGATTTTTGAAATATATTGTTTTGGGATAATTATCTGCTGTAATACGCTTTTTCCTTCCTATATTTTAGACCAAAGAAAAATATGGAAAAGAATGCAAGGTACGCTTTCCTTTGGAAACAACAACTTATGTAATTGTAAAGAATGGCACACAAGAAGTAGCTTGTGGTTCTGTGAATTATGTAATTTTGCTGTTACTTAGGAAATTGTATAAACCTGGGCATTATCTTAAATTAACATTATTTGCTTGAATTTAGAATATTACATGAACTCTAAATATATTGGATTAACTTGGATGTGTAAATCCAAATTGTTAGTGTCATTATCTAAACATAAATTAGCTGTTTTTCTTTAAACCTAAGTATCTTGGTTCTAAAAGTAAACATTTAAATCACAAGGGTACTTTAGGCAGTGGAATATGTATGTGATAAAAAAAAACCAGAGCAACATACCCAGAATCTCTCAATCTTTGAATAATACGTTCTGTTTAAGAAAAGTGGTACAATCTTCAATGCTTACCTCTTTATTTTTTATTTCAACAAGTAAGACTGAATCTCTCAAAAAACAGATCTTTCAGACCACAGTATAGCCCATAAATAATGGAAAATTAGATATAGCTGTGTATGCCTAAATTGAGATATTGACTTAATATAGGAATTTATCTGGATGTTCAATATGTCAGCCAGGTAAAATTTTATAGAACACAGGCACGATAGAAATATTTTAAATAAAAAAATGCCTTAAAATGGATTTTGGTTACAATGATGTACATTAATGTAATAATTGTTTCAGATCTGTGCCAGGCCGTTCACAGTTTTCCGTTGGTGCCCTGGTGTTCGTATGCGTTTTAAGAAGACTGAAGTGTGCCAAACGTGCAGCAAGCTGAAGAATGTTTGTCAGACTTGCCTTCTTGACTTGGAATATGGTTTGTAGTTATCATTTTACATTAAATCAATGAATACAAAATTAGCACATTATTATTCCAGTACACAATGAGCTGCTGTTACTGGAGATCAGAGTCTGCATACCTGAAGTTCTGCAAGATGAAAAATGTTGACATAAACAGCACTAATTTATCAATTTGGAGAAATGAGTCTGGCATCCCCTTTCTTGAAATGGCAGACATTGCTGATTGTGCTTAATAGTGAAAATAAAGGGTTTGTCATATAAATTACTAGGTCGAAAAGTCAATCCACGTTCCACCGTTTTGATTAAATCAATACTGGAAGCTCTGTGAAATCAGAAAAGGTAGTTTTAATGTTTTTTGTCCCTGCTTCATCCCACTAATAAATAAATGGTGGAGAGTCCGTAAAAATATGTAATAAATCTCCACATATATTTCTTTTAAGATCCTGGTTTCTGTATTCTCTTTGAGTTATTACAATTAGTTTTGAAGTGCTGTTAGAAAATGGTTTATGTTGAATATTTCTGGGACATCTGTGTGAGTAGTAATTGTAGATCAGTTAAATCAGGGGTAGGCAACCTTGGCTCTTTTATGACTCGTGGACTTCAACTCCCAGAATTCCTGAGCCAGCCAAACTAGCTCAGGAATTCTGGGAGTTGAAGTCCACGAGTCATAAAAGAGCCAACGTTGCCTACCCCTGAGTTAAATCAATTCTGTTTTCCCAATTTGCCGAAGGTTACTTTGTACAGTATTTCTATCTACTCCAAAGCTTGACCATTCTTTTTATGGTTATTATATCTTCAAACATTTCTGTCTTAACGCTGTAGATATTTATGTGTGTTTCAGAATGATGTACAGGTAGTCTTCAACTTACGACCACAAGTCCAAAATTTATGTTGCTGAGAAATTTGTTAAGTGCGTTTTGCCCCGTTAGGACTTTTGCCACATTTGTTAAGTGAAACACTGCTGTTGTTAAATTAGTAACAGGTTGTTAAGTGAATCTGGTGTCCCCATTGACTTTGCTTGTCAGAAGATTGCAAAAGATAAGGGGACACTGCAATCATAAATGTGAGTCAGTTGCCAAGCATATGAATGTAAATCACATGACCACGGGGATGCTGCAACAGTCATAAGTGTGAAAAATGGTTATAAGTCATTTTTTTCAGTGCCGTTATAACTTCGAACAGTCACTAAACGAACTGCTGCAAGTCAAGGACTACCTGTACTAAAAGATGTTTAACATCTTTTTTATCTTTGAACCTGAAGTGATGCACAGCCCCAATACGATATTACATAGTTGAACACGAGTTAAAAGAGAATTGGAATATAGCTACATGGAATAAAATCTCAAAGTCTCAGAGGGGAGAAATACTTTTGCAAAAAAATGGATGAAGGAAATAAATGTGATGACTGTTGTCCAAGTATAGATCCTCCTCATTTAACAATGCTGATTGGGACCAGAAACTCCATTGTTAAGCAACACGGTTGTAAGTTGAAAAATTATGTGACTGTGCTGCTTAGTGACAGCAGTTCCAGCAGTGCAATCCCAGCTACTTTTGTTAAATGAGGACTAATCTTAAGTGAGGGTCTCATATGTGTGCAACTTCCAATTTTCTGCCAAATTCCCCATGCTTGGGAAGCCAGCAGGGGAAGTCTCAAATCGCAATCATGTAACCATAGACTCTGCGACGGCTGTTAATATGAGGTCCAGTTGTAACTACGCTCATTCAGCTTCATAAGTTTGGTCACTGAATGAGTGAGCATTAAATGAAGACCACTTATAATGCTAAAAATGTAGATTTCTACAGGACCTGAGATTTGAGTGCCATGGATATTTGTGGTACAGTAAAATCAAAGTTCATGTGGATTTTAGAAATAATTATGTTAGATAGGCCATATTGATAATATGGGATAGATACAAATCCAGGTGGTGTCTGAAAACACCTTTGTGGCTCTCAGCACAAAAAAATAGATGAGAAATAAGAGGCAAACATAAATGGCTATATTATAAATTAGAATTTTGTCTAGGGGAATACAAAATAAAACGAAGGAAACAATTGGCGGCAGATGGTTCTAGTTGCCAGCTGTTCTCTTATTTACATTTATCAGAAGGATTTAAAGATAAAAGAGTTCATAGTATTGAACGTTGTAAGACTGGTTTTGAAATAGAATTTTGTACTAACAGTGAACATGCAATTATTATTATTATTATTATTATTTCAATTTATATCCCGCCCTTCTCCCGAAGGACTCAGGGCGGCTCACAACATTATTAAAACAAAGAAAGACCCACACACCCCACCGAATAAAACCAAATTAAAACCAAAATTTTTGTGTTGTGATAATTAAAATTTCTAAAAAACCCAGTTTAAAAATCCTCCCTAGGCCAGGCCAGCTTGTTGGAAAAGCCATGTCTTGAGGGCGCGGCGGAAAGTAAGGAGATCCTGAATTGCTGAAATGTATAGACCTTTATTGAAATTTGAAATAGAAAAAGAATGAGTGAAAGAATATATAATAAAGTGGACTATCATCTACAGATTAGACAGTTAGGATTTATGGTGTCTGATTATTACATAGGATTCTATTACATAGGATAGATTTAGAGAATGAAGAGCGTCATGATGTAACTTTAGTGAAAGAGGTAATTTATTATTATTTGGAAAAATACCCTTTGTTTTCGCTTTGTATCAATTGTCTGTTTTGTTTTCCAATATTAGGTTTACCTATTCAGGTTCGTGATGCTGGAATCTCACTTAAAGATGATATGCCCAAGTCGGATGTTAATAAAGAGTATTACACCCAAAATATGGAAAGAGAGGTGAAGAAATGTTATTTTTTTGTGGTGCAAATTAAATGAGTCCAATATTTGGACATGAACCTTCTTGGTATTACTACAGTATATACCCCTCGAACCATGAGATGAGTGGCATGTAAATTTAATAAAAAAAATAACCACCCCTATCTGTCTGCTTTTCTAGATCATGAATTCTGATGGCACTCGAGCTGTTGGTACACTTGGAAAGGCAACATCTACCAGTGACATGCTGCTAAAATTGGCTCGGACCACCCCTTACTATAAGCGCAACCGCCCTCATATTTGTTCATTCTGGGTGAAAGGAGAATGTAAAAGGGGAGAAGAGTGTCCTTACAGGTATAACTAAGTGTGGAAGTTTATTAATTTTATAATTTTAAGTTGCCTGGCAAGTGGGTGGCAAAATTGGATGGATGGATGGGTGGATAAGGAAGGACAGATGGAAGGAAGGAAAGGGTTCAAGAGTTCAGGCAATTACCCCCCAAATAATGCGTATGCATCAACAAATCTAGACATATCAAAATGAAAGCATTGTTTATTGGATTTCTATTCTCTTATTCATTTAGCACCTCAAGGAAACGTTCCTTTTTATTTTTCACTCACAACAATCTTGCAAAAGTGACTGTGAACTAAGGGTCATCATTCCACTGGGTCTCTGCTATTACTGTTGAGATAGTAGTTATAATTCTTGGATGATACTAAGTAACTAACTCTGATGGTTGAGAAACTCGTGAAATTGCAGCAATGGTGCTTTTTTTAAAAAAAATCCCAATATTTGCATAATCTCTCCACACCTAATAATCTAGCTTTCTTTTAAGTTCTCTGGACGTTATGTTGCCAAATTAGTGCCACGGTTTAGAACAGTGTTTCTCAACCTTGACAATTTTAAGGCATGTGGACTTCAACTCCCAGAATTCCACAGCCAGCATTGCTGGCTGTGGAATTCTGGGAGTTGAAGTCCACATGCCTTAAAATTGTCAAGGTTGAGAAACACTGGTTTAGAAGGTTCGACGAATCAAATGAATTTAGCAACTTTTAACAACATATTGTACAATATTGCTTCTGAACCTTTAGACATGAAAAACCTACAGATCCAGATGATCCTCTTGCAGATCAGAACATTAAAGATCGCTACTATGGTATAAATGATCCTGTGGCTGACAAGCTCCTCAAGCGAGCTTCTACAATGCCTCGTCTGGACCCCCCTGATGACAAGACAATTACCACACTGTATGTCGGTGGTCTGGGCGATACTATCACTGAGTCTGACCTTAGGTAT